CGCATGGGCTCCCATCGCTTGAATATAGCGTGGGCCACCTGACGTCCATGGAGTCAGTGTCGGGAAAGCTCGATAACCACAAGAGAAACTCACCAAGGCAGAAACGACCACGACGGAAATGGCATTACGAAGAGGGACGTGAATGGACGTCAAGAAGTCATTCACACGGAGTAAAATGCCTGGAAATTGTGCTGGAAGTACGCTCATCGTCGAAAAGACACGGCGTGTATGTGAGTGAAGCGGGCCCTGTATCACAACTCCCTTTATGAATACCCGCTAGACGCTTCCGCCCAAGAATCACCCTCGCGGGGCAGCGAAATCGGCGTGCTGAAGCATGTTTGAGGATCCTGTATCACCGGTCATAGTCAGCTAGCGGAGGAGATGGGTGCTGAAACGCGTGGAATCAAGGTCGTCCACGTCGAATCGAGGTCGTCCGCGTCGAATCGAGGTTGTCCGCGTCGAATCGAGGTCGTCCGCGTCGAAGCGGCTCCGAGCCGCTTCGCACGCCACTTTTCGTTCGCTTCACGCTCGCTTTCCAGCCCGCTTCGTCCCGACCCTCCTCCTCCCCCTCCTCCCGTGCTATTGCACCAATTTTGTAACAGCCCCATGCACATGGAGTAGTGACGGTGTGATTAATTTATATTAAAATTTTGGTACTTGTTTTCTGCATGTTACGATGAAAAGCGCGTCCCCATATAAGCATTTCTCGGCCGCCCCATGAGTAATTCTTTGGAGGCATTTCCACTCCCCGAGAGCATGCAGGGGCCCCTCTACAGGTATAACAGAGTGTACAGGAAGGAGGCAGATGTCCCCCTCACGCCGCCAGCAATTCGATTTTACTCCCTCGCGAAGTCTACGCGCGCTTCAATCGCGTTTCACTTCGTTCGAAACGACTCTCGAAGTGGCCGTGAATCCGTTTCGCGCGCGAACTTTAAACACCCCTATTAGGATGGTTGGCGAACCCGAGACAGATGGCAGCACGTTGCAAATAGGCGTATGACCGCGTATCACAAGCTCTGACCGCTGCAGGCCACAAGCGCTCTCAAGCCGAAGCTTGGCCGCGCTCCCACGACCCCCTCCTCACAAACGCTTAGATTTAGACTCGGGTAAGCCTGCCAGTGGCACAAACATGTGAATTTGTTCTCGGCACATATAGCTGCTAGCCGTGTGCATGGTTCTGGTATTGGTCACCGGGACGTTGAAGGACCCTGTCCGGCGCACACCAGCAGTGTGCGCATGAGTTATCCAATTCACAGAGTGATAAAGAAAGTCGCGATTGCACGGTACCGGTTCAGTTCGGAAGCTGCATGTGCTGTCTCGTTACATTCATCATCAACACGAGCTGAATCTTCCTACGTAGACAACAGTAAAAGACGCGTGGCTCAATCGAGACTCGAGAGGCAGTCTCGGGTCAAATACTGGAAGCGCCGCGGCTGAACTAGCACTGAGGGAGTCTTTGTGACTATTCTTTCCTGAATTAAAGTGCTACCTACAGAGGACCTGTCTACTAGCGTCCGTGTGCAACAAATATCAGCGTCCGTGGTGGTGCAGGAGTCCATGGCCTCAATAAATATTAGGCAAAATCAAAGACCGGAACATCTCACTGCTCGCCGGGCGACGGTGAGAATGGCCATCGTGATCATGACATGATGCCACAACTATTCGGACAGCATACAGAGCCGGGGCAATCTCCTCCTGGTCGGATTCAGACGACCATATAGGAAACTGGGGGCGGGGATCCTGCATGATCAGAAACTGACAGATATCTGTAATGGGTCATGCGGTCATGGGTGGCACAGTGATGGCGTTTCGTGAATCGTGACAGCCGCGCACTTGAGAGAAATAGCTTGGGGGACTTCACCCTCAGGCTTTAAAGATCTGCCAATAATAATGCTTGTCTCACAAATTCATGTGTGCATGTCTCATTTTTTCCCCGACCGATGATAGTTAGTCACGATACCCAAGATAACTTGTCCGTGAGCTTTGTACAATGGATATTAGGACTTATATTCGGATGAATGAACTTTGGTTCTCATGAACTTGCACAGGAGTCTCACCATTTCTGGAAGGCGCAGCTCTCTGCTAATCCCAGAATAAGTGGTGCACAAGACTTTCCAAAATAATTACCCACAATCTATTCAAAGATTATGTATTATCATTACCAAAAAAGAGGGGAAAGAGAATATTATGCTATGCACACCATAGTCTTTGTAATCTATGATTGCATGCAAAGGTTTCCTTGAGTCATAATGAGTATTTCTGCGGGTGTGCTTGCAATGCTCGTTCATTGAAAGCGGTTAAGCACTTACTGGCCCTAGCTACACTACGTGCAATTGTGCAATGCCTATCATTGCGACCGAGGCAGCCACATAGGTAGATGAGCATCCAGCCTCATCGGTGCTTCGCCCGCAAGCACAGGCGTGGCAGACAGTATCACACTGTGCTTGATGGCGTTCATAACCTTCCGTTCGCCGCCGTCTCTCTTATCTCCTGCTGATCGTTGCAGTTCAACCATAAGAGCCTGCACCTCCGGTGCCTGAGGCAGGCTGCGCGGAGGCAGGGGCGCACCCTCACTGAACACTACGGCGGGTTCGAGCTGGCCGAACGAGCGCATCCACTGGCCTACTGCAGCAAGTGACACACGCACCTCCCACGAGCCGCCCTCCTTAGTTTGATTGTCAGCATTACGGCTAGCAGCGACAATAAGAATGCGCACAGTTATCGTCTTGCACAGCGCGGCGTTTATGCCGAAGGCCAAGAGATGTCCTGCGGCATGATCTATAGCCTACATAGGAAATGATTTGGGATGAAAGGGATGCGCGCCACAATCGCCTGTGTAAGCTGCGTAGGCCTCTGCTTCTCCCGCATTGAACCCAGTCGCGGCCTGTACTACGAGAGAGTCGAACTGTGCTGTCTATGAGCTTTTCACAGCTAAGGTTGCGCAGCAGAAAGCGCGTACCCCGCGTCGATCCTTCCAAGGTCCGTCCCACCCGTACGCATTCAGACTCGCGTAGACAATCCCAGGCCGTGCCGCAACCACGTCTGACACGCCAAAGCCCTTGTCTGCGAGACCACCCGGGCGGTAGCCTTGCAAAAATACGTCTGCATCTTTAAAGAGCTCGCGCAACGTATGACAGTCTCCGGGCTCCGTGAGATCAAGCTGTGTTGTGCGCTTGCCACGCCAGGTGTCCATGCCCACCATTGGCCAGTTAGAAAACTTCGGCGAGGTGACCCACAGGACGTTAGTGCCGTGGGCTGTGAGCAAAGTAGGGCGTTCAGTGAGTTGGAAGATGGTAATTTGACTGTTAGACACCCACCTGCAAGTGTGAGCCTAGACACAGGCCCAGCGATGATGCGCGTGAGTTCGAGTGCGCGGATGCCGTCCGGCGACCGACGGCGCGAAGCATCAGGTGCACGCTTTGGTGCATCACCGACTTAAAGACTTTTGATGAGCTCTACCGGGAGTGTACCTACCAGCGCACAGGCATGACGATGTGCATCCCATTCCTCAAACCGGCGGAGTACAGTGGCAACCGTTTTCCTCAATGCCACTTCCTCTTCAAAGGCGTATGAGTCCCACTGGAGCAAGGACTCTGCAACGGCCTGTTTCGTCGGTGCGCAGCTTAGGGTGTTCAAAATCTCCTGGCAATGAATATTTTCGGTTAAAGGTCTGCATGCATAAGCTGACTCAGATGTACACACTGAGGAAAATTGGTGTGTATGCGGACGCAATTGTTGTCTTTCGTTCGATGAACACCGAACAGCTCGTTCAAAAGCTGGTTGAACCCGATCAATTGCCCATCTACAGTATAGTATATTTCACTCTCTGTTGCACAAACATCATTGGCGATTGAGCGGTCAAAACATTAAAATGAGCTATTATGTACGCACTGAATTCGAGGACGGCATGCCGTGCGTCCGTGGAGACACGCTGTCCAATACCTGTATTCAGATGATGGAAGTATGCGGCAGCCAAACCGGCAAGGCCAACGGAGGTCTGGGTGCGAGATACGCAGAAATAGATACGACTTGATGTGAATTGCTGGAAGAAGAACTCACCTGAGCCACAGAACCGAGCTTGAACGACGAGTTGACCGCGGGATCAGCTTTATCTGTCAGACTCAGGTGTGACAGCCAGCAGGTAGGAAGGCCGTTAGTCTTTCAGAGTGCTTCTGCAGCAAGTATGGAACCCACGGTAGCAGGGCTTGGATAACTACCAGAGCGACATGGTGGGCACTAGTACTTATACTGATGAGAGAAAACTTGGGCCGACTGCGGCTGAGAGTAATCAATGTTATATACACTCCGGCCCCCGAGCCACGCACGATGGCTTACACCATGGATCCGGTGCGGCTGCGGACAACATCTGGTTACGTGAACGACTGAGGAGAATCTCATGGGGGTTTAGAAGAGTGAGTACGGTTTGACAAGTACCGAGAAATATTGGCTGACGAATGGGGATATCAATGGGGGCGCAATACGTGCGAATTTGAAAAGGCAAACGTTCACTTCGCGCTGATGAGCGAGACGGGTTTAGAGCACACAAGCCATACAAAGTCTCGTGTCACGCAAGACACGAGAGATAAGCACAAGCAGGTGTATGGCCCATTTGCGCAGGCGAGAGCAATAGTCTTCAGCCAGCAGCACTCCACCGCGGGCGGGTTGTGGAGCGTATCTGCAGAGGAGAAAGGGGAAGAGAGCGTGCGGCTCCGCTGGTCAGCCTCACGACACATTGAAGCGCAGAGGTGACATACAGTTCTGACCTCTCCTTAAACTAGCGCAAAGGATTGTCGGAGCGATTTTTTTTGGCGAGGGTCTCCCGCCGGTTAAAGCTGGGAGGCGAATTCTTGATCGAGGCCAACAGGAACTTGCAGCGAAGTTGGAAACGTGAGTCATATGCAGTCTGTCATTAAGCTGACTTAGACGCCCTTTGGGTAACAAATATTCACGGTCGAGATGTCGTCCTCCCACCCGTGCGTCCACAGTGATCAGGTTCGCTGCGTACAGTCAACGAGAGCACAAATAAAACTTGGAGTATCCAGATTCCAGTCGCACAAATCTGAAGATTATACGTGAGACTAGCATACTAGGATAATTGTATGAATATTAAAATCTTCCTGAAGTCCGCCTAACATTATTACCAGGACAAAATCGTGAGGATATTGCATGTAGTTGTAGCTACTGAGGCTGCTTCTCCGACTGTTTCTGAGCCTGCCGAAGCCTGCGCTTGGCTCTGAACTTAGGTCCAATGAACATGATCATGAATATGAACGGGCCCGTGGCAACACAGAGACCAGCGAGCACGACAAACGCCCAGCCGACGCCCATTGCGTTGATCATGATATCGATGACGGACACGGTGACCGCTCCCAAACCACAGCGCACAAAGTTATTCTGCGATCATGTTAGCAATCAGCCGTTTGAACAGAGTCGGGAAGGAGCATACACATGCGCTGACGGAAGAGCCCTGGCCGGGTACCAAGTCAACAATGAGTGTCTGGGTGGTGTTCAAAATACAGATGATAGCGTATCCGACTGCACCAGACGTCAGAAACCCATCGTACAAGTGTGGGACAGCAAAAAGAACACTCACAGATAACCTGCAGGATGAGCGGCACCGCGATGTTGACCTTGCTCTGCAGCGCCCACCCGTAGCCAATTGCTACGGCGACATAGATCACGAAGTAGATGGGAATCGTCCGGAAGCGTGCGTACTCAATCGGGAAGTGCTCGTCCTTTGTAACGTCCTCGAATGGCACATCGTACTCGGGGTCTTCGCACGCGCGTCGTTCCAGATTGCGCCGTACACGGCGATACTCGAGGTCGAGCACGCGGCCGTTGATCCAGCTGCCAGCGAGCATACCACCACCGATAGCGAGAAAGCACAGGCCGATGGTCGTCTCAGACAGATACGGGTATGTCACGCTAAAGAGCGTCGAGATCGAGGCCGTCATAGCGTAGAAAAGCGAGTTCTGAACGCCGTTGAAGAGGAGAAGGATAAACACGTCCGGGTAGAACATGATGCGAAATGGGTTCCGGAACTTGGTCTTGGGTGGACGTTCAACGTCGTCATTCGTGCCTGTCCTGTTGCGGCCGATGATGGGAAGCAGGGGCCGATAGATAGGAGGGGGTGTGATGCTACCGTCTCCGACGAGCGAGCGCAGTGTCTCTGGCAAGATTCTAGCTTTGGATTGGTCATATTGCCAGAGGGAGCTGTGCTAAAAACACTTACAAGAGCATAGCAACGAGACAGATTGACGAGCCGATGCACAGAAACCAGAAGATTGACCTGGAAAGCAAACCGTTTGGGCCTAAATAGCTGAGAATATCGCGTTGTATATCGCACCTCCAGCCCAGACCTTGCGCAAGGGCACCGCCAATAACGGGCCCGAGGCATGGCCCAACCTAGCAGGCGGATGAGAAAAAGCTGTAAATACGTACGTGGCACATACCATGGGACCTAAGTTATATAAACCAAAGAAATTACCGCGCTCAGCACGCTCGGTGATATCTGCGATGACGCCCGCTCCAAGCGCAATCGTGCTAGCAGAGCCAGCGGCCTGCACACACCGTAGGACCATGAGTAGCCAGTATGCATTCGTTGGTACGAGGGCGAGTCCGACGCAAGAGAGGGACAGCACGAGCATACAAGCCATAAACATCGGCCTCCTTCCCCAGCGGTCGGCCAGCGTCCCCCAGAACATGGGTGCTAAGGAGCGTTTAAGTGAGCGCACACCCTGCAAGGGCGAGTATGTTCACCTATGCCTTGCAGCAGCACGTACATGGTCACCGTCAGGTTTATATTTTCCGTAGACGTGTGGAAAGCCTTCGCCAGCGTAGGTAACGCTGGGAAGTAAATTTGCGAGGTCAAAGGACTGGATCCGGTTGTGAGCACACGCCTTCGCAGTGGTTCATAGATGCTACTCACCTGAAGAGTCCTGCCACGGCGGCCATAGTGACAATAATCCATTTCTCGCGGTTAGTGTAGATACTGTATGGCTTGTTCGGCTTGTCTGGTGTTGGCTGGGGCTGCTCTAATAATATCTGTCCCTTGGCGACGGGAACTAGCAACAAAAATCAGTAGATAATCCCGAGAAGGACATCGAGTACGCATACTATCGCGAGCGTCGTTATTCTGAAGTGTTTGTACGTCTTCCTCGCTCGTAGATATATCTGTATTGTGCAGTCCCAGAGATCCAGTCTGCTGAGGAGCCTTATAGTCGAACCCGGTCGGTTGTTGCATGTGGATTGTAAAAGAGAGAACAGAAGTGGGTGCTGCAGCATATCAAAAATCTTCCTCGCATATATACTGCTGAGAACTGCTTCAGTCGGCTTGAGGTCGTGAAGCTCATGACGGTGTTGCCGATTCTGTTTGCCTTTCTGGGAGGATGAGTGCGCCCTCCGCGCCGCAATGTCAAATCTGCTGACGGTATTCACGGGCGTCTGATAGGGCGTCCATCACGCTCGCGCCTCTATATACGCTAATCTTTGCGGAGAGACTCACTAAGATGCACGCGCAAGACCAGTTTCGCGAAGAGCCTTATGCTTAGTAGCACGGAATGCTTACTGTGACACATCCCAAGGAGAGCGCGCATGGTAGCTAGCGCCGACGCCAGTCTCTCCAGGCGGTCTCGACGCCATGGTCGTCACTGCCAGGGTATTTTGGACAACTAGGAGTGAATACATGTTTAATGATTTACAGATGAATTCACGATAGGACTGGTAAGATTTTCGTCTTCAGACCTCATATACCTCGATCAACGGGCTAGTTTTCAGCTCCGAAAAATTCCCCCAGTTTCCTTCTCCTCGTCACCTCCACACCAGTGTTTACTCTCCTCCGTGTGACCTCTAATCGTATCTCGCGCTCTTCGTGCTCTCCCTTACCTTACTCATGCGTTCTCCAAGGTACCACGATCTCTCCTTTTCTCCCCATTTCCCTCGAAACTTCTTCCCAAAGTTCAACGTTTCTATTGTCGTACGCGTACGCACCAGGCTCTGTGGACGCCGCGGCAGCTGCTATCATCAGAGTTGAGATGGGGCTGCGCACGCTGAAGCACATCATTATGCAGTCGTTTATGCTGGGCGCCAGCTACTCGAGTCACACTGTGTACAGCGCACACAGCTCAATGAAGAGTAAGCTAAAATCCATTGCGCGTGCCTGCGCGCAATAGAGCAGGGCGCCGGGAAGCTGTACGTGCTGCCCGATAGCGCTAGCTTGCTTTACAAATGTCGACAATGGCACGCAGGGACTGGCTGAATATAATTGAAGGAGGCCACGGGCCTTGGTCAGGTACGCAGAAGCGTGCCTCCGGGATGATCGATGACCACCAATAACAAGTAGCGAGAAGAGTAGGGTGTGGAGCGTTTCCCTGCAGATCAATGTATTACTCTGGTTGAGATGGCCCATGTATGTGCAATAAGCTTACAGTACTTGGTTCGGGATAACAGCACGGATTACAAGCGTGCTAGCGCAGAGTGTACCTGTACCAACCTGCAGGGCGGGAGATGTTGGCCCTTATCAAATCAGTGATAGATTACAGACAACCCCGAACATCTCCAACATTCCAAGGTTTGGTCTTGTTTCTGAGCTGCTGAGAACTCGTGGAGAACCGTGGCATCTGCATGACAATATGCAAATGCTGACCATCAGTGCTGCGATCTCACTGTAACCACTGTACGCACGTTCTAATCAAAGTAGCCCTGAATGCATATAGCGTCTCCTCTCCGTCCCTCTCTCCTGCGTACGCCCCTCTTTCGGCCTGCATGTTATGGAACGCTGTCCCGTCGAGCTCTGGTTGAGGATCGTCACCCTCGCCTGCACAGACGGGGGATACACAGGCTGCAGTCTATGTCTTGTGTCTCAGAGGATGAGACATATAGTGGAGAGTGTTCGCTTCTTATCTATCTCGCTCGTTCACGAAGAGCAGCTGCTTGCCTTTTCACGCCTGCTACCTGACCCAGACTCCCAGTACTCTCCACCCGTGATTCGACACCTCCTCATATTCGTCAAATTATACTTTCGCAGTGACCCCGAGGGGAAGTCGAGGGGCGAAAGCTTGCAGCAGGCTACTCGAAAGATTATCTCCGTGGCTGCGCCCAATGTGGAGACCCTCGTCGTACATCAAGCCAGATACGACCTTGTGTTCTCTATGCTCAAATTTCCCGCCCTCCGTGACCTTTCACTCGACGGGCTGAGCTCCAGCTCTGAAATAAACATCTCCCGCTTCCCCGCCCTTCGTCGTCTGCATCTCGGCTCGAGCCAGGTCCTCCTTGACTTCTGGTCAGACCTGGCGCACTTCGCTCGCTCCCTCACACACCTCCGGATCTCTGGCATTGCCCTGAGTAGGACAATCTCTCCATTCCTCCTCATCCTCCTCGATCTGCCCATTCAAAACCACGCTGAAAGTATCGCCGCGATAAGGAGGGACAACGAATACACGCTGAGTTCGGCAGACGCCGCGAATGCCGTTGCTTTTGCGGAAGGGCTCCCCGCGCTGGAACACATCGTCATACAGCCCTATAAAATTGGCATCGTCAGCCGACGCGCTCCGGGCATTCGCGAACACTACTTAATGAAGTATGGGTTAGTTAGGATCGCGCGCGCGTGCGCTCAAGCGCAGGGCACCAAGAAGCTGTACGTACTGCCTGATAGTCCGGCGTACAGCGTTGACGAGGCACGGAGGGATTGGCTGGAGATGGTTGAAGGCGGCGATGGGCCTTGGTCCGCGAGCGCAGACGGGTATGGCGTCGGAGCGTCTGTTCATAACCAGAGGCAAGAAGAACATGGGGCTCACGATGTCCGGCCTCCGCCTCATCTACTCCGCCGCATCCCACACCAGGCTCTACCCACCGAAGGTGAGCTCCCACCGACTTCATGAGTTCATACATTGATTTGTGCGGCTTTGGCAGTCAGGAGTTATGATTCCGCTCATTCCTCTGAGAGCTGAATTGATGAAAATACACTGGTAATAATTTGGTTCACGATATTGCCAAGAGCAGGACAGGACCTATGAGGATGATTTTTATGAGATTATTATGCTGCGATGATGCCATTAGCACACCTAAACCTATGGAGCTGAAGCGAGAAGAGCTGAGCCTGAATACCCGTCCCATATACTATTTGTTGATGAATAGTGCTCGACCCTGCTGTATTTATCAGGGCTCACACCATTTCCAGAGCTAGCCAGATACGGATGGAGGCGCACGTGGCCGCCCCGCGGGCTCAGCTCTGCGAGCGGCTGGTAAACGAGCCTACTAGCCAGATGGTAACCGGTCAGCCACCTGACGCACGATCATCCTGTCGCCTCCGAGGACCCACCACATATCAACTCTGTGGCTTACGGAACCAGGAAGATTTGCAGCAAACGTATCCGAGTCGATGCAGGGTGGACCCCCTTCTCGGGTCGGCTACATGCTCAACATGGGTGACGAATGAGGTACCGCAGATGCCCGTTCAACCATTGTTAAAACACCGTGTCCGTGTCCGGAGACCACCAAGAGAATGAACAAACCCGATTAAGAGCGGTGTCTGGAGTCTGGACCAAGTATAGTACTTGCTGTACCTCCTGCGCCAACAACACTCACAACAAATGATAGTTTCGAGCTCCCACGCGAGGAGATATTTGTTTGATATTGAGTTGTGATTGACTATAATACACTTACCCCGACAGTAAAGTTTTGTCGAGCCATATCCTTCAGAGGCTGGACTTGTTGTCACCGAACAGCTCCTTGATAAACGCCTCCGAGTTGGGCTCGCGGCCGAGGAAGTTCTGCCAACGACACATTAGTCACCATTAACCAGACACGAGTCCGTAGTAAATACCTTAAGGGACACAAGATCGTCCTGACTTCCTCCGGGACGCAGGATATGTTCACGGTAGCGCTGTCCACGTGCAGGGTCGAGTGGGTCGCCCTTGAAGACCGTTGCGTACATGTCCGCAGCGAAGACGAGCGAGTAGGTGTAGCCGTAGTAGCCAGCGTCATAGCCGCCGGCGATGTGTCCAAACGAGCCCTGTCCAGGAGTGGGCTTGCCAGCGGAGACAAGCGAAATTTTCTCTCGCATTGTGTTCCAGAGCTCGGTGTAGTCGTCGGCCTCTGTCGAGCAATATTAACGATCTAAAGGCGAAGCGGGTACGAGAGAGGACCAACCCTTGTCGATGTGTACTTTGAGATCGAAGTTCGCAAAGAACAGCTGGCGAAGGTAGAATAAGCCGACATTGACGTATCGACTGCACGTACAGGCTCAGCTATAAGCATAGTATCTGTTAGACGGCTTCGTACCTCTTGACAATCTTCTCAATCAGGTCCGCAGGTAGAGGCTTTTTGGTGTCGAAGTGGCTGGACATACGCTCGAGAACCCTGGGCTCCCAACACCAATTTTCGAGCATCTGCGACGGCGCCTCGACGAAGTCGCGCGCGACGGAAGTGCCATGGAAGCGGGCGAAGCGCGTCTTACTCAGAAGGCCATGGAAGACGTGGCCCATCTCGTGGAAGAACGTAGTGACGTCGTCGTGGCGCATGAGCGCGGGCTTACTCGGAGTCGGCTTTGCGAGATTCGCAACCATGGCCGTGAGTGGGTAGCTCCGCGAGCCATCCTCACGTTTGTAGCCGGAGAGGAGACCCCAAACCGCTGCATGAGAGTATTTGGACTCTAAACGACGCGTTAGCCAGTGATTGTTAGATAGAGCATGCGAGCTGACCGCGAGGGAAGAGATCGAGATAGCACCAGCCAACAAAACCGGACTCGTCCTTGGCATCTTTTTCCCAGACAGCAAACTGCTGCACCTCCGGATGCCATGTTTCGCCCTTAACTTCAACGAACTTGACGCCAAGCAAATTCTGGTAAATTTCGAGGATAGCAGGAACGACAACCGTGACTGGGAAATACTCCTTGACGAGCATGTCGTCCAGATCGAGACTCTTCTCGACATATTTGCGATCGTAGTACCTGTAATCCCAGATATTGAACTCGCCATCAAACTCGAGACCCTTCTTTTTGTGCTCTTCTTGCTTCAATGCAAGCAGAATCTCTCGTTCCTTGAGGGCAACGGGACGAAGCTTCTGTTCCAGATCGGCAAGGAACTCCTTCACGGTCTTTGCATTCTTGGCCATCTTGACTTCAGTGACATAGTCCGCCCAAGTGGAGTAGTTGAGTAAATCGGCGATTTTGCGACGAAGCCCGAGGATCTTGTCCAGTACGGGAACGTTAATCGACAAGCGAGATTCGTAGGCTTCGAATGCTCGCTGACGAATGGTTGGATTCTCCGCGAATTTAAGCTGTGAAGATGGCGCGTCAGCAACTTTCGATATGTACGTGTAGCGAAAGGTCCACATACGACAGGGAAAATGTCAGGAGTCTTGAAGGTGACATCGTATAAGTCCTTTCCGTCTTCTGTCCGTTTGCTGTATCCTGAAACGACATCTGCTGGTACACCCTTGAGGTCCTCTAAGGTAAAGGCAATAGTCCCCTGGCGTGATGTTAGAAATGTGGCAAAACGATCCGTTTTGTGTCATACCTTCTCTTCGTTGAAGTTTTTCTAAATATAAAACATTAGAATCATCCAAAAAGATACGCACGATATGCACTCACGCTGAATTCGAGGGAAGTGGCAGACAACTCTTTCTTGAGCGTCGTGAGCTCCGTACGCTTCTCCTCGGGAAGGGCTAACCCCGCACGAGTACCATCCAAGATCATCTTCTCAACCAAACGTTCTTCCTCAGGAGTAAGCTTTTGACCCGATTTCTTGATATTCTCTTGGGCGGCCTGCTTAGCCTGGAAGAGATCGAGACGCATAGACATTTCGACGCCATAGTCGCGGGCCATCGCCTCGGCCTCGTTCGAAGCATCGCGCAGATCCTTGGATGGAGACACATTCTGGTAAAAAGCAAGAGGTTCCATGACATGTTCGAAGTCTGCCTCGCTCCGCGCGAGGGCAAGCTACTCTGTCGTGTCAGTAGCAGAGAATGAAAGAACGAGACGACTTCACGTACAAAGACCTGCAGATCGTTCGTCAGAGGTACTATAGGACCATTGTCAAGTCACGTACAGAATCAAATGTGCACTCCTCTGGTGGCAGAGACGATATCTTGTCCATGAGCTTTCGGTCGTTGTCGATGAGCTCCTTTGCAATCCTCCGTACATCCTCCGGTGAGTGCGTCCACGACGGCGCAGGCTGAGGCGGGGTCAACGAAGCCATTGTAGGATCGGTGGTGCCAAATATCGATGAGATGGTAGAGAACAAGGTAGAGGGCGATCGATGCAGGACTAAATGAGGCGTGACCCACCGCGTGCAGCCGAAACTTGATTTCTGTGCCAAAGTCGCCAGACCCGCGGCTGCCAGTGCGCCGATGCCTAGGATATGTCGCCGGCGGAAGCCATGCTTCACGACGGGCGAGGTGACCTTCGAGCCTGCTCGAAGGAGCTGGCTCATCCCGGACGTCGTGGTGAGTGTGAAAGCGAGCTTACCCGAGCTGAGCGCGGATCAGAAAAATATTGGCATCGGGGTGTTTTGGAAGTGCCGGATCGACAGCGCAGTACGTAAGGATTTTGGTCTCAATATCATGCACATTTTCTAGCTGGTAGAGAGCAGTCCCAGACGAAAAACACTTCTCGGGACAACCGCCATATCCGAATGAAGCAAGAGGGGCGCGTCAGTTGATGCGCTGCCGTGATCGCTTGACTAGTCTCAACCCGTCGCCCGATAACGCTGACGCAGACGAATATGTGACTCGACGTTCCTTGTACATCTATACCCTCAGTTTTCCAGCCGAAGAGACCGCGTAGACTGATGCTCACCAGAGAACAGGGAGTGGGATCAAATGCCCCTTTCACCTATTGGACGGGCGTTGTCTGCTTTGGCCCTCAGTCAAGTCTCCAGATCTTGCGTTATGGGCCAATTCGAATATTGGTTTCACCTGAGAAATTTCATTGTTATATATTCCCGGCAACAAATGCATGTATCTAAGAGACGGTTTTTGCCAAAAAAAAAAAAAATGCACGGCCCAGGAGTCTAGACTCTAGAGCCCGGAGAGTAAACAAGGCGCTTAAATTACTTATACCTTTGGCGCCTGTAGCAGCTGCCTCCGCGCCGCTTACCTTGTCGCTAACCTGCTCATCTCGTTCGCCGCGCCCTCCTTGGTGACCGTCTTGATATACCCGGGTCATACTACCGACACTGATAACGACGATGGAATCGCCAACACCAGCAGCCGCGGCTCTCATCCGTAAGAAGCGCAACTTTAAGGCTCTGCAGCTCGATGTGTCCAAGTCCCAGACACCATCTCCGACGGAGCCCGCGCCGACGAGGCTGGCTCCCGCGCCAGGTGCTGGCGCAGGCGGAAAGAAGCGGCCGCCACCGATGAAGCTGGCCGCACCCAAGATCAACGCCAACGGTACCACAGCCGAGCAGAACGAGCCGGCGGAGGGCGGTCCAACTTCCGCGCCGGCAACAGGCAACAAGTCGACCAACCGCATGACGTACCACAGTGCACTGTCGCACACGCTTGCGAACCTCGATCTTAAATCGGAGAACAAGTATCACGACTTGCGGAACGAGGACCTCAAGGACCTTCACGAGCTCGGCCAAGGCAATGGTGGGAGTGTCAAGATGGTCGAGCACGTCCCGACGAACACGATCATGGCGAAGAAGGTGCGTGCACGGCCTGCTGTGTCGCTTGTACATGTCACTCATAAGATCTCGTGCTTCAGATTGTCCTCATCGACGCCAAGCCGGCTGTACGAAAACAGATCCTCCGCGAGCTGCAAATTATGCATGATTGCAACTCGCAATACATTATCTCATTCTACGGCGCGTTTATTTCAGACCCAAATATCTGCATTTGCATGGAGTTCATGGACAAGGGCTCTCTCGACGGTATATACAAGAAGATTGGGCCGATTGACGTTGACGTGGTGGGAAAGGTAGCGCTGGCAGTGCTCGAAGGGCTCACATATCTGTATGACGTGCACCGGATTATCCACCGTGGTGAGTGACCCCCAGACCAACTCCAGCTCCTCGAGAGCGTGGACTGATGGTCTCCAGATATCAAGCCGTCAAATATCCTATTCAACTCGAAGGGCCAGATTAAGATCTGCGACTTTGGTGTCTCAGGCGAGCTCATCAACTCCATCGCGGACACGTTTGTCGGCACATCAACCTACATGAGCGTGAGTGCTGGACTCGCGTTTCCAAGCGGACAGACGAATTTGACTTCCTGATCTGGCAGCCTGAGCGGATACAGGGTGCTCAGTACACGGTCAAGTCGGACGTGTGGTCGCTGGGCATCTCGCTCATCGAGCTCGCGCTCGGCCGGTTCCCCTTTTCGGACAGCGCGTCGGACGACTCGGACCTTTCCGACTTTGAGAACACGCTCTCGCCGAGCCGGCCGCGGGGCCTCGCGCTGCGGAGCGCGGAGGAGGCCCGCGCAGAGAAGGAGAAGCGCGACAAGAAGAAGAAGCGGAAGAGCAAGGGCGTCAGCCTCCAGGGCGGCGGCATGACGATGAGCATCCTCGAGCTTCTACAGCACATCGTGAACGAGCCCGCGCCGCGCCTGACCCCCGAGGGCCGCTTCCCGAAGGAGGCAGAGGACTTTGTCGACAGCTGCCTGTTCAAGGAGCCCGACGAGCGGAAAACGCCCAAGGAGCTCCTCGTGCGTCCCAATCAGTCCCTTTGTCTCCCTTTCCTCGCTGTTGACGCGTGCCGCACAGAAACACCCGTGGGTCGAGGGCTCGCGGACAAGCGGCTTCGACCTCGTCGCCTGGGCGTCGACATTTTAGACCTATCTAATCTGATATCATGCAGCCAAGGCACACGCCCCCCAAATCAGCTTCTTGCCTTGTTCTCCTTCTCCTTCATCAAGGAAGACTTATACCCCTACCATTTGTTGTTTCACTCTTGCATGCTGTCTGTTTTATAGGGGTGGTCCCGTTCATGTAATTGTAGCCTCGAGTCTTGCAAAGCGTGGGCAATGATACGACCGTCGGGGCCGGCTGGGCCGACGCGACGCAACCTAACCTCGTGGCTTGCCCTCCGAGAGTGTGTACCAACTCCGAGCCGCCCCTAGGACAACGGTTACAGTCTGTTGCACTCGTGAACGTGAATATATTCGTCAGGCTGCAGAGCATTATAATAGGGCATGCGGTCGCAGAGCTACCAAACGGGAGTTCCACGGTGTCCTAGGTATGTCGTCGGTAGAATGAAGAATCGTCGAGGAAAAACCGTCCAAGGATCATATACTACGGCGTTGCAATCGTGGGGGTGCATTGAGAACGTCGTATGAGGAGTTGCGGTCGTCGAAAATCGTGGGTTCCGTGCGTTCTTGGAAATAGTCATAAAATTAGGAGGTCGTCCCGCCGTTTTTGGAAGCGAGAAGGGCGTCGGCACTGCGAGGATCATGGCACATGGCGTGCCCCTCACTGGACCCATTCCTCCTTGTTGGGCTCCCACTGCGCATGCGGGCGGTAGTTGAGCGTCGGGTGCTCCATCCTGTGCTTCACCGACTCGTGTACCTTGGGGTTCTTGTCCGGGATGTGGCGCCCGCGGCCCCTGTGTATGCTGCCAAAAACGGGCACATCGAGTTCAGCGACACTAGAAAAAAGGCGCGCGCGCGCACGCACCTCCACTTGTCATGCCACTTGCCGTCCCCGTCCTGGTAGCAGTAGTTCGTCGGCATGAGCTCGAGCAGCCACCAGAACCGGCAGAGCCGGAGCTGGTCGAACAGCGGCGCGGTCGCGTCCGCGTCCTCCGGCACCGCGTCCGTCGCGACCGCCCGCGACTTCCCGCTCCCGCTGCTCGCCGTCGACTCGCCGCTCGCGCGCCCGTACCCGAACGCCTCGAGCGGCTGCTGGTCCCCGGGCCGCCCACCGTTGGGCGGCAGCGCGTCGGTCTTGACGGCGAGCGTGGGCGGCGTGGTGGCGGGCGGGGGAGGGGACGTGAAGCCCGTGGGGACGAGCGCGGCGTCGAGGATACCCGCGCGCCGGAGCGCGTCGCTGTCGAAGGCGATGCCGCACTGCGCCTGCACGACCTGGCGCACCATCCAGCGGAGGGAGATATCCGAGAGCGCGTGCGGCGTGTCGTTCGGCACGCACCCGCCGCCGACGTCTGTTGCTCTGTGTGTGAGCGCGGGGCAGGGCACAGAAGGGAGGGGGGAAGGCGAGGGAATGGGTACGTACCGCCGTGGCTCCCGGCGAACCAGACCTCGAGCACGTTCGTCTCGACTTGGTCCCCTGCGGGGTCGTCGAGCGGGCGGATGCTGTCGTGCTTCTTCGCGCGGCGCCCCTGGAGGCACGGTACCTTCGCGTACGGGCCTGTCGTCTTTCTGAAGAGCCCCTTCAGCCAGCGCGTCTTCTTCTTCCCGTCCGCGGGCGTCTGGTTTTCGTTGGCTGGAGGGGGCTGCGCCGCCTCGGCTTCTGCCCGCATGTCGGCTTCCATGCGCGCCCTCTTGTTCTCTTCGTCGAACGATGCCACGGCAGAGATGGGAGACGTCGTCGGCTGTGCGTCCTCCTGGATAGCGATCAGGTCGGAGACGGTGGCGGAGGCATCGCAGGTCAGGCGATGGTACAGGTTCGGCTGGAACTTCGCGCGACGCTGCGTGGCAGGTGAGCCTGGCTCACGGAAGTGCAGTACGAAACCATTCCCCTACCTCATCCAGCGCGAGTGCGTGTCGGAAGGTCTTGATCGTCGTGTTCGTGGTCGTAAATGGCAGGGTCTTGCTCCTCAGCAGGCCCACGCTCGCAACGGTATCCCTGAGAGGCAGTCAATACCCTCATGCATGCGCGTATATGCGTCGATAGCGCACCAAACCCCAATGAACTCGACCATGACGCTTCTGCAGAACGTCCTCTTAAATCCGGCCGCGAGTTCTCTGTGATTTTTGTCGCAGTTCTTGAAAAGCTTGTATGCGAGCGGGAGCTGCTCTGGGTTGTCTTTGGGCAGTAGACCAATCTTTCAATACAGTTTGAGATATATCCCCGATCCGAGGAATCAAACGGGCCAACCTTGTGAAGCATGCCAGCCAGGGCTCTCGCAGTGTATGCCCCGCGAGAAAACCCTAAGAGTAGGGCACGGTCAACCTCTGTCAAGTGGAGGGGACTTGCAAACGAACCAAAGATGCAGATCTTGTCGCCGGGACGGTAGTTTTGCATGAGGAAGGTGTAGCCTCCTCGGACATGCTCATCGAGGTACCTGTAAGGGAGAGCCGCTAAGCTCGTTAGCATACAACGAGCGAAGATGAAAGCCTACCAGGCTATAGCTTCGTCCAGCATTCTGGCGCCCCATTGGAAGAGAGGCTGGACAGCACCAGGATGGAAATAGGTGCCTACGCCGGGCTATATGCGTGGCGTCAGCCAGTGAATGAATGCGACATTCTTCTACCTACCTGGTAATAACACAGCTGGTCGTCCGTGTTGTCCTTCTTTAGCAGTGAGTAAAGCTTGACGACATTAGTGTTCTGCAGTGTCACGTCGGTGAGTGGGTCTCGAAGCGCGTTGATCAATGAATGATGCAGACATCACCGTCAAATTGGTTGGAGGTCCCATCAAAGCAAAGCACGAGCGTGCGGGTCTTGGGAGGCTTGACGCTCGCCACGGAGTCGAAGCTCATCTTCAGTTGAGACAACGGCGCAGCCGTTACAGTACCGGTGAGAGCAGGTACAAGCGGAGCGTGAGGCTCGGCGGAGGGGACCGAGACGGAAGTCGTGGACTGGGCGTTCATCGCAGCCAGAGTATTTAAATGCACGGAATCTCGGCGTCGGCGGGGACAGCGTGGTGATGGCTAGTGATGAAACGAGCTGTATCGTTGCTATGCTTCTGTGAAGATCGCAGCTGTGCGAGGGGAAGGCGTCGTCGGACGAGGAGGTGGGGGATCGAGCGGGCGGGTCAGTGGATGAGTAGTTAGGTGTATATGAATGGCTGGGACAGTGGCCACCCGGCGTGGTTTGGCCCCCAGATACTGTTCAGCCAGCTTCTGGGAAGGCGAAGGCTACATCACGAGATAGACGGGTTACAGGAACAACATAACCAAATCTGTCAAGCCATCTTTGCATCATCAGCTAACAGCTCCACAGGCCGACACGGGTGGGCACAGGCAGCCCCCACAGCCAAGCCTTGTCTAACGCGTCTCTCGCGCCACACGGAATACAAGGCCACAGACCATGACTGTCGTAATACCCCCACATACGCAGCAGGAGCCTGTGCAGGCCACAAGAGCCACGTGAACAAATATTCCTTCCGATCGCTGAAGGCAGCGCGACCCTCCGAGGTCTGGCGGGCCACCCCAGCACCAAGCAAAGCTCCAGAATATCGGCACCACAGCATTTGCGACGGAGAAGCTTCATGTCAGGTTGGTGTTGCGGCGCCGGCCTCGCTCTGTCCGGCGGGTCTCGCAGGGATTAGCGCCGGAGAGGCCGTGATATTCAAAATTCCGCGAGCGCACTCTACACAATGATATACGCCCAAAGATGCACCACCGTGAGCATGTTAAGATGAGCTGAGTTAAAGATCGGAGGTGGGCTCCCGAGAAACAGATCGTCTAGGC